GTACAAATGTTCATTTTTCATTAGGTATTGGCTTTTCTCATAAATTTTGTTGTTGTTATCCAGAATAAAGAAGACAGTGAAAAGGATGAAAAGAGAGATGAGGAGAGGCAGAAGTCAAAACGGGGACGACCTCCTTTAAAATCTACCCTTTCATCAAACATGCTATATGGTTTGTCTAAGACTCCAAACAGTGAAGGAAAATCAGGTACCAGAAGTGCTCGCAGCAATATTCCTGACAGCTCACCTTTGTCAAATGGAATGGAAGGTGCTCAATTTTGAGGATCATTTAAAAAATCAATAATATAAATAATAAAACCTCATTAGTGTGAGAGTCAGAAAATCATCTTAGTATTTAATCTTATATTTAAACTACAAAATTTGATTTGAAGAAAATGTTTATTTTGCTTTACCATTTTGTTTTAATATTTAGTAATGTTTTGCTTTGATCGAGGAATACCTTTTCTTGTCAATGTGGTAGGAATATTGTTTTAATATAGGGTGGGTTGACAATCCAAGCATCCACTGGGTAATGCACTGTCCTTCAAAACATACACAAGTGTCTCTTGTTAACGCAGTGTTGTTCATCTGGGATCTTTAAACAAAGCTGAGACTCTTGTTCAAAGAGCACAAACTAAATGGGTACAGGAATGTTTTGTGCTGATTATAGATGAACATATTTTAATCTCATTCCACCACTTTTCTATGTGTATATTTTCTATGAATTTAAAAAATGTTAAATAGTTGTCTTATAGAAAAATTTTTCTCCAAGAGAAAAACTATTTTGAAATACAGAATTGCCATTAACGCATATGCTTGCTTGCAAATTATTATAAGGGCATCCTTTCTCCTCTTTACTGACATCTGCTGGAAGGTTGTCATAATACACAAATGCAAGATGTCCAGCAGTTGAGTGATAACTTTAAGATTGCATGCTCTTGCGCAGTGCACACGCTATAAAACTATGCATAGTAGTGTTGCTAAACTATCACATAAAAGTTCTTTTTTTTTTAACATGAGAACAAATGAATTTTAAATTGTGTATAGGGTGAAATAAAACTGTACAGCTTTTCACTAATAAAATCCATTTAATTTTGCTTTTTTGAACTTTAGAATATGAGCACCATGTAGGAAGAAGTTTTGTATTTTAAAGCTCACACACAGTCCTATGACCATACTTTATTAAAATTTCTTGACTTAAATAGAACGATTTCTTTTCCAAGAAGGTGGCTTGCCTATAACTCATTCTTTTTCAATAGTTCATTTTGTCCATCTCTTCTTTCCAGAATCATTTTTATTTTATTATTTTTCCTTACATCATTGTAGTGCCCATAGTTCTTCTGTTACCTTATCACCCATGAACTATCACCATATTCCCTTGTGTTCATCCCTTCTCTGTTTTGCCTCCTACTTCTGCCCCGTCCTTTGCTATATGCCTCAGTTTTATGGTCAGCTGCTAGTTTTGACTTTTTCTTGACCTTTTCTTGGGCTTCTCTATATTCCACATATGTGAGACCATCTGGTATTTATCTTTTTTCCTTCTGACTAATTTTGGCTATCATAATTCCTTCTAGCTCCATCCAGGCAGCGTGAGTTTGTCTTTTTTGATTGCTGAGTAATATTCCTGTGTGTGTTTGTATACCACAATTTTTTGATCCATTCATATATTTTGGGACATTTAGGTTGTTTCTGTATCTTAGCTACTATAAATAGTGCTGCAATAAACATAGGAATGCAGGTTTATTTTTGAATTAGTGTTTTTGTGTCCTTTGGGTACATTCCTAGGAGTGGAATTCCAGAATCATTTTAAACAGAACATTTCACTGTTCTCTGAGGACGCAAAAATGGCCATCACACTTATTAATCAACATCTACTAGGTCTGTGATCAAACCACTTAATATATTAACTTCATGTCAGTGCCAGTCCTTTGATTTTATAAGGGCTATTGTAATCTAAGTATGATACTAATGAAAATACCTGTAAAACAGGTATTTTACAGAATTGAAATACTAATATTTTCTATGTAATGTATTTTTAAATGCAGTTTGTTTTTTGTTTTCAATTTTCAAAATTTGTTTATTATATATATATATTTCACATCATTGTTCAGTTTTGAACAATGTATACTTTTTCCTCTCAGGTGTAGTTCCCACGAAATTCTACCCACCAATTCACCCTTCAACCATCACTGTAGTCCCTTGTGTTCTTCCCTCCTCTGTTTTGATTCCTCTGCCTTTCCCTCCCTTGCTGAATGTCTCTGATTTATAGCTGCCTGCTAATTTTTTAAATATATTATTATTATTATTTCCTGATCCTTTATTTGGTTCCCCTATATTCCTCCTATAAGTGAAACCATCCATTATTTTTCTTTTTCCTTGTGGCTTATTTTGCTGAGCATAATCCCTTCTAGCTCCATCCTTGTTGCTGTGAATGGCATGAGTTTATCTTTTGCAGTTGAATTTTAAATATCTTACACATTTTGGCACAAATGTATGGTTTATTTTATATTAGAAATTTATATGGTGAGGTATTAAGGAGAACATGATAAAAGTTTTATCTCTACTGGGATTTTTATTATAAAATTACATTGGTATTTAAAATTAAAACCTTTGTAACATAATGTTTCCTCTTGCAGACTCTTGTTCATCTGATAGTGAGACAGAAGACCTTTTGGAAAAGAATTTGATGAATGAAGAACTTTCTCCTGAGGTTAAAGAAGAACTAGAAAAAAATGAAAATTTAAATGATGATAAACTAGATGAAGAAAATCCAAAGATTGCTGCACATATATTAAAAGAAAATGATAGGACTCAAATGCAGCCTTTAGAAACCTTAAAGTTAGAAGTTGGAGAGAATGAACAAATAATACAAATTTTGGGGAATAAAGTGGAACAAGTAGAAGAAGTTAAGAAAGAGGCAGAAAAATCTCCTAAAGGAAAGGGAAGACGAAGCAAGACAAAAGATCTCCCTTTAGAAATTATAAAGATTTCATCATTTAACCAGGATGAAGCAGGAAATGAACCTCATACAGAAGCTCAGAGTCTAGAATTGTCTTCACTAGACAGTAAAAGTTTTTCTTCTACTACTGAAGATGAAATTGACCAATGTGCAAAAGAAAAAAAGATGAAACGGAAAATACTAGGACAGTCATCACCAGAGAAAAAAATAAGAATTGAGAATGGAATGGAAATGACAAATAGCGTATCTCAAGAAAGGACTGGTGATTGTGTTGCATCTGAGGGAATGAAAAACTTAAATTTTGAACAACACTTTGAAATAGAAAATGAAGGAATGCCGTCATTAACAGCAGAGTCAAACCAATGCACTCAAGAGTTGACTAGTGAAAAATATGATAGTCCAGTGGAAGAAACAATAAATACTCCACTAAAAGAGGAAGAGGATACAATGCCTCTGATTGGACCTGAAACCTTGGTTTGCCATGAAGTAGATTTGGATGATTTAGATGAAAAGGATAAAACCAGTATTGAAGATGTAGTGGTTGAAGGCTCTGAGTCCAATTCTCTTGTTTCTATTCCACCTGTGCTACCTTCTGCAGTACAGCATAACTTTTCAGTGGCTTCACCACTTACTCTCAGTCAAGATGAGTCTCGAAGTATAAAAAGCGAGAGTGACATAACCATTGAAGTTGATAGTATTGCTGAAGAATCGCAAGAAGGTCTCTGTGAGAGGGAATCAGCAAACGGATTTGAAGCCAATGTTGCCTCTGGTACCTGTAGCATAATTGTTCAAGAAAGAGAGAACAGAGAAAAGGGTAAGGACTTTCATGGGAGAAAATTAACCTTTGTATTAAAGCCAAAAATCAATATGTTGAGTTTTAGGAACTGTTGATTTCTAAGTATTTTTCCTTCTTTCTCATTCCTCCTTTTAAAAAACGGTGTTTCATTTTTGTAGCTAAGTTAATGTAGATAGGTGAATAAATACACATACTCTTTTTTCAAGTTCTCTCCCCTTATTTCAGGTCAGAAAAGGCCAAGTGATGGAAATGGTGGATTACTGGCAAAAAAGCCAAAGCGTACCCCAAAGCGAACAAGTGCTGTAGCCAAAAGTGAAAAAAATGGGACAGGTTGGTGCTTTTCAATTCTAGCTTTTAACATAAGGTTAAAATTTTCACCAGTTTGTTATCATGATTATTTGTGTGTTTAAAATAGATTTATTTTGTTCTGAAAAGAGGAATTTTCCATTAATGTTTTTTCCATTAATGTTTAATCTGAAGGTACTTGTCAGTTTTATTAAAAGCTGGTCAGCTGTGATTATTTGTACTTATATAAATCAGTTCAACATTAGAAGAACATATTTGGTAATCTTAAAAAGAAAAATACATTTGTTGTAATGTTAAAAGCAGATTAAGTTTATATTTCTGAATGGGATGGTTCCCTTTAATCTAGAAAAGCTGATTTCTAAATTGTATCGTGGTAATTTTAAAGTACAGGTAAATAAAGAAAATATAAAACAAACAAGGAAATTAGTTAATTAATGAATATTTTACATGGAAAACAGACTTCTGTAACAAAGAGTAAAATTAAGTTGTAGACTATAATAGAAACAAATATGGGTGGTTTTGACCAAAATTTTTACTTCTAAACATGCCATCATACAAGTCTGAAAGGGAAATTTTAAGTTAGAATAGATACATATTCCAAGGAAGGAACACATAATTTATATAAAAGGTATTTCAAATGAAAACCTTTGAGCCGCATTAAGGTCTGGGTCACATGCAGCTAATGGCTGGGCAAGACAGGTCTAGAATGTAGAGGAAGAGTGAGGGGAGATCAGACAGGAAAGGTAGCAGAAGCTACAAAGGGAAAATGAGTAACTTTGCAGTGGATAAGCCTGATCATTATCAAATGATCAAAGTAATAGCATAAATTGAAATCATGTACTACCTTAAAAGACGTAACATAGCAGCAGAGCTGTCCTGTTTCTGTCAGATGTATAACTTGAATGTAATCATGATGAATCACCAACAAATTTAGAGTGAAGGATATGCTATGAAATAACTGGCCTGTAACTTAAAATATTGCCAAGGTAAGTTAAAGAATAGTTGTGAAAGTCAAGAAAAGAGAACATGCTCCTTTTCAAGAAGACATATGAGATGTAGCAATTAAGGGCAGTATATAATTTACACTTGGATCCTACTGCTATAAAGAATATTATTGGGTCATGGCAATTCCACTCCTAGGAATCTACCCAAAGGACACAAAAACATTACATATACAAAACATACACAAAACCCTTTACCCCTATGTTTATTGCAGCACTATTTACAATAGGTAAAACCTGGAAACAACCTAAATGCTCAAAAATAGATGACTGGATCAAGAAGATGTGGTACATATACACAATAGAATACTATTCAACAATCAAAAAAGATAAACTCATGCCATTTGCAGCAATGTGGATGGAGCTAAAAGGAATTATGCTTAGTGAAATAAGCCAGAAGGAAAAAAAATATCGCATAGTTTCACTTAGAGCAGGAATATAGGGGAACCAAATAAGACAGTGTAAAAAAATAACAGTACAAAACACAACAAAGCAAAAATAGACAATTATAAATCAGACACATACTCCAGGGGAGGAGGAGGGAGAGGGATTAGAGGGAGGGAGGGAGGAGCACGGGACTGAGGTGATGGTGCACGGGTGCACTGGTGTAGGAAATTCTATTGGGACTACACTTGAGAGGGTGGGGGGAAGCAAATATTGTTTAAAAATGAACAATGATGTAAAAAAAGTAAAAAATAATTTAAAAAAAATAGTATTTTCTGACGATAGTACATTTTCTTCCTGATACTGCACTAGCGTTGGAAAATGTTTAGCTTCTAAAAATTTATGTGGGATCTGAAATTGTGTCTGAACTTTTTGTACTCTTGTTATATTAAAATTCATAGGTCTAAAAAAATAAATAAATTTTAAAAAAGAATATTATTGGGTCAAATGGAGAAACTTGTACAGAATCTGAGGATTAAATGATATTAATATGTCTGCATTTATTTATTTTGGTGGTCGTGTTATGGTTCTGTAGGAGTGTGGTAATATTAAAAACAGAGCCAAAATTTGTTAATATTCTTCCCTTCAAGAGGCAAAGCCCTCCTCTTGAGTACGGGCTGAATTTAGTGACTCATAGTAACAAAGTGGAAGTAATGGTTTGCCACTTGAGAGAGTACATAAAAGGCACTGCAGGTTTCCTACTTACTCTCTCGGATCACCTGCTCTGAGGGAAGTTAGCTGCCATGTTGTGAGGACATTTAAACAATCTATGGGGAAAAAAAAAAAAAGAATAAATAAATAAAATCAAAGGAAAGACAAACACAATGGCAAATACAGATGCTAACATATCAATATTAACTCTAAACGAAAGAAGACCAAAAAAAATAAATAAACAGTCTATGGAGAGGCCCAAGTGGCAAGGAACTGAGGCCTCCTGCCATCACGCATGCAAGTAAGTGCATCATTTTGGGAGTATGTCCTCTAGCTTCGGTCGGGTCTATAGAGCTCATAGCTCTGGCCAGTAGCATCACTGCAATCTCACCAGATGCCCTGAGCCACACCAATTTATCAAGCTGCTCCCAGATTCTGTACTTAGGAATTGTGTGAAATATTAAATGTTGTAGTTTCAAACTGCTAGGTTTTAGGATAATTTGTTGATAATACAAGGAGAATGTTCTTGTTTATAAGAAATAAAAGTATTTTTGTGTGGCAGAATAAGTATTAGAGAATGGGGAAATAAAATAACTAGGACTTAGTTATTATCAATCATATATAAGGAATTGGTTAACTGATAGGTGGAACACTGGAGTAGTAGCAGGTTTTGGAAGAGTCATTTAGGGAATGTTGAATTAGTGGTATCCAGTATTAGGAAAATAGGGTTCTGGAACTGAGAACAAAGTCTGTTTTTAGAAGTATTGCAAGTGATTGTGTATAAGAAAGAAGTTCCAAATGCTGTAGAATATTCAAGTAGCATTAAGATACATTTATTGAATATGATGAGTAGTATTTGGGCTCTTAATAAGAAAGCAGATGTGTGGTTATCAAAGATGTAGAAATCAGGAAAACAAAGAATTTCTTTTTCAAGAAATTGGACCCTAAAGAGAAGAAAAGCAGTACCTGCTAAAATAGGAAGATTCCTCTTCTCACCTCTCTCTAAGGGTGGGAAAGATAAGCATGTTGTTAGGCTCTGGGGAAAGAGGTGAATTTTAAGATAAAAGAACATGGATAATAGATACTGGGAAATTGCAGTGTAATTGGGAGTGGATGGTTTCAAGAGTTTAGTTGAAGAGATTGGTTTACCCAGAAACAGACTCCTCTTTTTGAAGCCAAAAGAAAAAAAATGTCAGAAAGGACAAATGGAGGAGGTAAGAAGCTGAGAAACTGAGTGAATAATCCTCAATTTTGTCTTTTCAGTAGAAAGTGAGGTTGGCTATTGAGAGTGAATAGAATGGCAATAGGGCAAAGTGCTTCAAAAAATGAAAATAAAATTTATAGAGAATTCTAATTTGTGAAATGAAAACCAAAAACATCTTTAGTTCAAATTTGATGAGTGATGTAGAGCTACTCGTATCTGCTCACATTCTATTCTACATATGTAAAAAGCCAGATATGTATTTTTGAGCGCATCTTATATAGTTTATAGTTCGGTCCTTTTGGCATTTGCCTTTGTGTTTGGTTTTAAACATAAATGGGGCAATACTATACATAGTGTTTTATAACTTTGCTTTTTCATTTACAAATTGGATTATTTTGCCATTTTTGATCTTACGAATATTCCCTTATTTTTTTAACTTTAGCAAAATATTTAGTAGTATTTAAGTTTTAACTATGTCCCTCTGGTGGACATTAAGATCTCCTTTTTTTTTTAACTATTATAAACTTTGTGCATTTATTTCTATAGGATAGTAGCAAAGTGTGATTACTGGATCTATTGCATTTAATATTTGAGATTTTTATCATTGTAATTTGAGTCACTTTTTTCTTATTATAGGACAAAGCAGTGATAGTGAAGATCTTCCTGTCCTAGATAATTCAAGTAAATGTACGCCAGTAAAGCATCTTACTGTATCTAAGCCACAGAAAATTGTACGATCTCCTGCAAGAATATCTCCTCACATCAAAGATGGAGAAAAAGAAAAACACAGAGAAAAACATCCGAATTCATCCCCTCGGACATATAAGTGGAGCTTTCAACTCAGTAAGAAGCTTATAAAAAACTTGAATGCATATTGTAAAGTGGTATATACCTTAAAATAAAAAAATGAGGAATAATGATTAGCAAACTAATTTATTTATATATAGATACTCCAAATATTGTCTTATCAGTAACCATTACTTGTTATCTTAAATACAAATCCATGCCTTTTCATAATACAAGATAAAATATTGACTGGATTAGGGTCTCTGATTATGAAGTAAGATATGTCGTGTGTGCATGTGTGTGTGTGTGTGTGTGTTTGTGTATGAAACTAGTAATGACAACCGCAAATAACTAATAAATGAGAGGAAAAATCAAGACACAGAAACTAGGTAAATAATTACAACTACAGAGCAGCATTGATGTGTACTGATTTTCTGTGTGTGTGTTTCTGTTCATTTAAACATCATTAAACATCATTCTGTTCATTTAAACATTCTTTCTGTACATATATAAAATCTTATTTATGAATGTTATTAAGCTAACTAGCTTGATACAGTAGGTTAGCTTAATATAGTAGGTTAGCTTAATATAGTCGGTTTCAATAAATTAAAGGTTTTCTTAATTTATGAGTTGGACTTTGGATAAAACTGCCATTTTTTCCCTCAGAATTATCTTAAAATCCAAATTAACTTTTTCCCCCCTTTTAGATGAATTAGAAAATATGAACAGTACAGAAAGAATCTCTTTTCTCCAAGAAAAACTACAGGAAATCAGGAAATATTACATGTCTTTGAAGTCTGAAGTTGCAACCATCGACAGGAGGCGAAAAAGATTAAAAAAGAAAGATAGAGAAGGTAATTTAATATAATTTTTCTTCCCTTATTTTTGAAATCTATATCCTGTCATTGTCACTACTTGAAAATAGTATACACTTGTTTTCAGATTCCTAGTGTTTTCTTCTTTATTGGTATTGCAGTGAATCAATAATTGAATTTGATAAAATAAGTTGCTTGAAAAGTACTATGAGCTGTTTTACAGACTATGATTTTACTAAATGTAACAGGCAGTGTACTAAACTTTATGGAGGTCACTAAAATGAATAGGCGTTTGGCTTATCCTCAAGGAGATTATCCTACGTCATTTTCTAAGCTAATATTGTTGCAGGAGTTCAGCTCAACAACAATTTAAGCATATATACCATATGCTAGGTCTTCAGGCAGGTAGTGGAAGTACAGAGTTGTGTGAGACACTGATCTCGATCACAAGATCTTAACATGTGTCTACCGGACAGTGTGTAATGAGGGCCATAAGAAATGAAATTAACAAGTATAGGAATTGGTAGAAAGAGTAATTACTTTGAAATAATCATAGAAAGAGAGTTGTGTCTGGCCTAGACCTTATGAATGTGTAGGACTGACTTCTAGATAAACATGGGCATGTTAATATCTACCTCTCCCCCACCAAAATAACAGTAAAGGAAGTTAAAAGTATCCCCACAAAGACAAGGGAACAGACTTTGGCAGACAAGAAATGTCAACAGCCTATCTTTTAGAAACTGAAAGGTAGACGATTGTACTGTCCTAGCAGATGAGAGAATGCTAAAACCAAAGTGCTGTTATATTTGCAGAGGGGTAAAACAATAAGCAGCAAATCATTTCCTATAAAACTGCCATTTTTTCCCTCAGAATTATCTTAAAATCCAAATTAACTTTTTCCCCCCTTTTAGATGAATTAGAAAATATGAACAGTACAGAAAGAATCTCTTTTCTCCAAGAAAAACTACAGGAAAAGCTCTAAAGGCAGGGATCTGGAATTATGCTGAAAATGGAGAATGCTGCAAATGAAAGAAATTTGATCTTCTTACCCACCTGTTAACTCTAGCAAATAAATAGGTTAATTTATTAGAGGGTGAGAGAGTTCAATAAGTTTGTTGACTGAGGAACACCAGCATAGTTGAAGATGAAGGTTAAGTGCTAAAGCAAAAATGATCTTGAGCAAAAGTTTACAATACTGAATAAGATGTCTGTCCCTTTTCCAACTGAAGAACTTACCCTCTTGCCTCTTTGAAAACTGGCAACCAAACTTATGCTCATTCCTGGGAGGAAATCAAAGGATTCCTCTAGAGAAACTGGCCAACCCAAGAGAAATGTTCTAATGTAGATACTGTCTCTTAGAGGGGTTCCTGACCTGAACCCAAAAGCAACATCCTTGCCAATTGTTCCATGTGCATTGTCCATCATTGAAACACTGTCCATCATTTGGCAGTGCCCTGCCAAATCATGCATAGTCTTTGAATGTCCTTTTAAATTTTTTAAAGTCTCTTAAATATGAAAGCCATAAGACCAGATATCTGATGAAAGCCTCTATACAAAGACAGAAACCAAACTAGAAAAAGAATAAAAAAGAACTTGGAAAAAACAATGTATTATATAAAAGCACAAAACTAAAATTAATATCCAGAGATACAGGAAAGACTGCAACCTTGCAACAAGAAAATACTGTTATTAAAATTTAGAAATTAGGGGCCTCCCTGGTGGCGCAGCAGTTGAGCGCTGGGTTGCGAGGCTACCCGCAGCCTCTGCAGCACCGGTTCGATCCCTGGCCACCAGGTGAGGGTCCCACATGGCGCATATCCTCTCAGCAGTGTACTTTGGTCCTTCTGCCTGTTCTGCTCCCCACCCTGGCTCTGGCGAATTCTCTCACCCTCCCGTGCTTCTGACTGTACCCAGTGCTTGTATGTATGTATGTATGTATGTATGTATGTATAAATAAATAAATAAATAAATAAATAAATTTTTTAAAAAAAAATTTAGAGATCGGGCCTTCCCAGTGGCGCAGCGGTTGAGTGCTGGGTTGTGAAGCTGCCCGCAGCCTCTGCAGCACCGGTTCGATCCCCGGCTGCTCCCTGGCCACCGGAGGAGGGTCCCACATGGTGCGCAGACCTCTCCTGCTGCCCGCTGCTCCCCTCAGCAGTGTACTTCAGTCCTTCTGCCTGCTCTGCTCCCCGCTCTGGCTCTGGTGAATTCTCTCACCCTCCCGCGCGTCTGACTATAGCCAGTGCTTGTATAAATAAATAAATCTTTAAAAATAAATAAATAAATAAAATTTAGAAATCAAGAAGAATCTCTTAAAAGTATGGTAATAGGGATAAAAATTTAATTAAGTCATAGACAGCAAAGTTAGAGAAATTTCAGTAAAAGGTCACAAAGGCAATAGAAAGAAGTACTACAACAAATAATAGTACCTGGTCAGGAGATCCAACTTCTGGATTACAAATCTAAAGAGCACTGAATAAACATAGGCAGAAGCTGTCATCAAAAAAAAAATTGTAAGAAAAATTTCCTGAACTGAAAAATGAGTTATAAGATTGATTGGACTCACTGAAAAATAGAAAAGTCACAGCAAAGCACATCATGAAATTATAGAAACTATTGATAAAGATTCTGAAAGTTTACCACATATAAGTACATACAAAAAGAAATGGGTCTCGGTGACCTTTTACTGAAATTTCTCTAAAAACTAAGAAGACACCATGAGATCCAGCAAACAAGCAATCCCATAAGAGGAAAAAGTCAATGAAAATCTCATGATGACAGTGACTGGAAGCTCTAGGATGACAACAACCTGGCAGGCCTAGAGAGCAACTATTTCAGGAAGAGGAGGAAAGGGATAGGAGAAGAGGCTACCAGGAGGGATGTCTTTTTAAAAAAACAAAAGTAAATTACCTGATTGACTTGCCCATCTGAAGAGTTGTTTTCTACCTATGGCAGAGAGTTAAGAGATGAATTGCTGCTTGAATGACCTAGTCATATGTGCTCTTGAATCATTCTACTCCAAATCTGGAAATTTGATGGAAAGAGAGTAGAGTAGGCTTTCCATGTTTGTTCTTAAAAATTGTGAAATGCAAGAAGTCTTTACTTGTAAACATGTGTAAACATGAAGGGAGGAAATTAACAAATTGAAATGTTTTCTGAGAACCTCAACTGCTTTGCATTTCCTAAAGGTGATAGAAGTTTTTGATAATACTGAGATTCCTTTATTACCATTACTTTTACTTTTTTGTTTTTTAAAAATTTTTTGTGGTATGACGTGAGTAATTAAAGTGAGGCACTGAATAACTTCTGGCATATATATTAGATTTATGGCAATGAGTTACAACATGCCATATTGGTAGTATACATTCACACAGAAATACTTAAAATTTAAAACTTCAAAATAGGAAAAAATGGGAAAAGATAATGGGAAATATGAGGGATTTGCAAAGAAAAAGTAAAAGTGGCAAATCACCTACTGCATAGTGATCAAAATCTTCTGAAGAGTTATGGTAAGGCCATTTAAGGACTATTTTTTTTTTTAATCATATACCCAAACTTCTATGTTGATCCTCCAAGATTCTGGTATGTGACTGAGAACTTTATGGATATGATATGTCCATCCGGTGTGTTGGGGTAGGATAAAGATAGGAAACCAATTGTTAACTGGTTACAGGAAAGTCTCTGGGATAAATGAATTCTCTGTAGTTCATGATCTAGAGATAAAACAGGAATTCCCTATAGTGAGAATTTATCTTTGGTTGATGTTGTTTCTGATTTGGGACAAAATGAGTTCCCTCTGAGCTCTTTCAAATAAGAGCTTAAGAGTTTATGTATCTTGGGCCTCCCCAGTGGTGCAGCACGTTGAGTGCAGCGCTGTGAAACTGTCTGTAGCCTCCACAGCGTCAGTTCAATTTCCGGCCGGCCAGGGAGAATCCCACATGGCGAGGCAGACCTCTCCTGTCTCGCCCACTGCTTTGGTCCATCTGCCTGTTCTGCTCCCCACTCTGTCCCTGGTGAATCCTCTCACCCACAGCTCTGGCCTGTACTCCAGCTCTTGTATAAATAAAAATAAATCTTTTTTCAAAAAAAGAGTTTATATTTTATATATCTTTAGTCATTTTTTTTTAAAAGATTGATTTATTTATACAAGCTCTGGGTATAGTCAGAAGCGTGGGAGAGTGAGAGAATTCACCAGAGCAGGAAACAGAACAGGCAGACCGACGAAATACACTGCTGAGGGGAGTAGCGGGAGGCAGGAGAGGTCTGCGCGCCATAAGGGACCCTCACCCTGTGGCTGGGGATCAAACCGGCGCTGCAGAGGCTACGGGCAGCTTCCCAGCCAAGAGCTCAACCTCTGCGCCACCAGGGGAGGCCCTAGTCTTATATTTTATGGTGCCTGTTTTTGTCATGTTACTTAACTGACCAAGACTGATTCGGCTCAGTTGAATCAAACAAAATTTTTGCTAACAATTCATTATTACTTCATGAACCATTTAAGAGGACTATAATTGAAGTGAATAATGTTAAGTTTAATTTCCAGTTTGCCAGTTGCTAATACCTTTATGTGATTATTTGTGTGATCATTTTTGAATTTAATGTAATTGTTTTGATTACAGTGTCTCATGCAGGAGCCTCCATGTCATCTGCTTCATCAGACACTGGAATGAGTCCCTCATCCTCATCTCCACCACAAAATGTACTTGCTGTAGAATGCAGGTGATAAATGTTTTTTCTGCCTCCCCAGCAGTTTGCTGCCATGGACATAAATCCCCAAACCCTGAAATACAACCACAGAAAAGCACTCAACTGGTTTGACATTGCTAAGTATATCCTGTATACTTTTCCAAGCTGGATTGTATCTATTCCCTTTTATTTCTTTTTTTCTGTTGCAAAAAAATAAGCTGATTAATAATTGAAGGTTAGGTAACCTGCCATATTTGTCATAATTTTTCCTCTTTATTTTTTTTTTTTTTCATTTTTGTGAAGATAGAAAAAGGGCACTTAGCAGATCTGTATTTGTATAATAAAGCTTTCAGGTATTATAGAAATCATAGACAAGCAAGTGCACATGATAAACATCAAAATATTATCCAGCTGAATAGTTACTGCTGCACTTTCACTAAGATGTATTTGAACACTTGGTGAGTAGGGGGTTTATGTTGTGGTTTTTTTTTTTTTTATTATTATTATTGTTAGGTTGGGTGTTTTGTATTTTTTTCTTGTGGAAGCACTTGCTATTTAGAACTGCCAAAGTATATGTTCAGCAGTGTGCCCAGGTTTAAAGGTGTAAATGGGACAAAATAAATTGTGAAAGGAAGTGTAGTTGACTGAAAACTACAGTTGTAATAAGTCTTCCACTTTTTATAGGATTTTTGAGCACACAATTATGCAAATATTTTAATGTTTATTAATGTTTACAGTGGAATTGTGAATAAGTTTTCAGTGGACTATCTTACCCTTGACAAAAATATTTTGTCTTTTTTCTATGTAATTTCAGAGTTTTTATTTTGTTACAAAAAGACAAAAATGAAATATATAACAACAATGAAGTTATTTAACAAGATTTCTAAAGCTGAAAATTTTGTGTAAAATAAGGTATTATCTTGCAACTTGTTAAATATATTTATTCAGACATTGGATGTTGTATTTTTATGTATTTTTTAAAATATTAATAAAATTGAAAAAAAGAAAAATTCTAGGTTAATTCACTCTTTGGATGACAATAGCTCTCAGCTGTCCCTTTTACAGGAGGTTGCATCCAGCAGCTCTACCTGTATTGAAGGGAGTTCTATCTCAGTCCTTCAAACAGTATAGATCTATAAATGGGCATCTGGATCATTAAAGTATGTCCTCATTTAGAAACTTTGGCAGTCCTAGTATTTAAACTGTTTTGAGGATGAAATTTTTGGTTGCCCTTAAGATACTTTGTCACAGTTTTTATGTTTGCTGTACTGCCGAATAAATTTATATCTCCCAAAGTTGAGATGCAACAACTAAGTAAAGCTATGTATGCTTTGTCTGTGAATTGTTCCACAGACTGATACATTTTGTAAATAATTCCAAAATCATGTATTTAAAGTAATTTTGCCATATACATTATGTAAAAAAGTGATTTTTTAAAATCAGTTTTTAAATTCATGTTTGTACATTGAAAGGGGTTTTTTTTTTAACCTCCTTTTCTGTGTTTAATATGCTGTAGAGTAAAAACCTAGATGCTCTAGACTGTATTTCAGGATCTGATTTACAAGAACAAAGTCAGAGCTAAACACTAGTGATGGCATAGCATTACTGAAATCATTGTTTCTTAATTTCATTTTACTACATTGTGAACTTGTGACTCAGATTCCTTCCATTTTCGCAGAGAATTAAAAACAAAAAAAGTACTCTTGTAAAATGCACTTTCCTGTCTTTTCTTTGCAAAACAGAAGTATTTCATTGTAAAATAAAAATGGCGCTCAGTGGGCAGTATTAATAAAGGCCATGTTTTAAACATAGGCTTTATATTTTTAGTTTTCATTTAAGTGATTGTTTTTTTTTTCCTTAAGTGCCAGTAACTTACAGTTGGAAAATAAGACTTCACAAAACAAAGCATATTCAATATATTCACAATAAAATATTTCTAATACTAACTATTAAAATGAAAAGTGTGTCATTCTAATCCGTTTGAAGCTAGGAGGCAACTTGAGATTCACACATCAGATATTTAATAATTTACTTTAGTTGCAACTGAATAGCAAAGATAAATACTTATCAGCTTAAATACTGTCCCATCTAGGGCCTCCCTGGTGGTGCAAGGGGTTAAGACACCACCTATGAAGTTTACCGCAGCCACTGCAGCACAAGTTGGATCCCCGGCCAGGGAGCAGCCCACATGGCACAGCAGACCTCTCCTGACTCACCTGCTGCTCTTCTCAGCGGTGTATTTCAGTCAATCTGTTCTGTTCCCCACTCTGTCTCTGGTGAATCCCCTCACCCGTCACACCTCTGGCCTATCCCCCTTGTATGCATAAATAAATAAATCTTAAAAAATAAATACATAAATAAATACTGTCCCATCTAATTGATATAAATCTGGTCATGGACCTTGCTACACTGAATTGGATACATGGACACTGTTAAAATACACCTTTTTTTAAAAGATTTATTTATTTATGCATATGAGAGCTGGGGTACAGGCCAGAGATGTGGCGGGGTGGGTGAGAGGATTCACCAGAAACAGAGTGGGGAACAGAACAGGCAGATTGACTGAAAGTACACTGCTGAGGGGAGCAGCGGGCAAGTCAGGAGAGGTCTGCTGTGCCATATGGGTTGTTCCCTGGCCGGAGATCAAACTGCTGCTGCAGTGGCTGCTGCAGTGGCTGCGGACAGCTTCATATGAGGTTGTGTCTTAACCCCTGTGCACCAGGGAGACCCAAAATGGACACTTTTATGTGGGGACTGGACAGAATTATAAAAATAAGTGAATACTGATTAGGTTTTAAATTCAAATGTTGGGTGTATTTTGAGTTTAGCTAAGCTTTGAATAGATAGCTCTTGCATTGCCTAAGAAAGCTGAAAATAATATCTAAAATCTAAATCTAATATCTAAAATGGAAGGTGCTATCTATAAAATCAAGTTAATTTGAAGATTATGGAGATTTTTGTTTTAACACTCCATTGTATGCATTTCTTGTTTGTGTTAAATTTCTAGCTTTTCTGTCCTTCACTAAGAAAAATGTTTGTACTTAAGCACATACATAGTATGTATTCTGTAAAACTGCTTTCCATTATGGAAATCTATATGGATTAAGCTATTTGTTTGCTTATATATTCCTTTCTTCAAAGACCTACAATGTACCTTTTTAGCCCCATAATTTAACATAGCTATTAACATTGTGAAAACATTTGAAGCTGTATTCCACCATGTATAAAAACTATTACCAGAAGTCATTCATTAGTGACTTATTATCTTCTATGCACAAAGGCCCAGGAGGCACAGCAGTGGCAAGACCATGGAATTTGTATAACCTAATGTGGTAGATATTAAACAGCCCATATAAATTCTTAACTGCGGGTGTAATAAGCATAGGTGGTCTGTGAATGTTTTCAACAGAAATCAACAGTAAAGCCATCCCAGTGAGGATTATGAATTGGTTAGGCAAGGGCCTCCCTGATGGTGCAAGGGGTTAAATCTCAGCATTCTCAAGCTATCTGCAGCCACTGCAGCATGAGTTCAATCCCTGGCCAGGGAGGTGACCAACATGGTGCAGCAGACCTCTCCTGTCTCACCCACTGGTCCCCTCAGCAGTGTATTTCAGTCAGTCTATCTGTTCTACTCACCAATCCTCTCACCTCCCGCACCTCTGGCCTATACCCCAGTTCTTGTATGCATAAATAAAAAAATAAATCTTTAAAATAAAATGAACTGGTTAGCAAATGAGAGGAGAGCCATGGAGAATTAAGTGCTCCAAGCACATGGGGGAGGAGGGAACAGTGGTAACGAGCCAGACCTGAGGGAGGAGAAACAAGAGCCAGATCAAGCAGAGCTATTCAGGCATTGCCCAAATCTTCCACCTGCCTCTGACCTTCCTATACCTGTTCCCCTTACCACCTTCATCCCTACTTGTCCAGAACTATGTCAAAAGCCACTTTTCCATGAAGCTTATGGTACATGAGCCACCAACAGAATATCACCCTCCTTTCATGCTTTGGTAATCTTTGATAATCTTTTCCTATCAAAGATAAGATTGAAAATTACTTCATTTAATAACTTACCTTGTATCATGTTAACTTATACATATGTCTTTCTGCCCTACTAGGTATGTTTAGTTCTTTAGTTATGTGTGTATCCCAAAAAGTGCCTGGTCCACATAGTAAGAATGGTCAAAAACAATGCTTACCTAAATTGAGAAAAATAACCATTGAATTACTGTTGTTTCTGTTATTTGTGAGCCTTACATACAAAGCCAGACATTTAAAAGAAGTCGTTGAATATCTTTTGAAAAATGTAAAGCAGACTCACTTAAAAGTCTAATCCCAAACTTCAAATATTCTTAAACTGATGAGTTACTATTCCTTCTCGTTTCTCCTTTCCTACATTACTTTCATGTAGTTACACACAGATTTTTACTCCAGTACACGAAGACCACAATATGTGGTGGTATTCATCATTAGTGAATTAGACTCGTTACAATGGAGTTTGCACTAGTGGGGAATTTCCAACAAATACTTGCTTAATGTTTTCTGAGTAAAAATATTTTCTTAGTTTTTCATATTTTATAAAATAATGTTTTCCTTGTTGAGAAGCACAAACTAACTTTTTATTCACATATACTACTTATATATTTTTAAATGTTATAAGAAGGGCAGTGTTTATAATTTTGGAATTATAGTTAATATAATTATGAAGCTTTCTTCACTTTGTAATGTGCATCATGCAAAATTTATTTTGAAAAGCTCTACTGTGAAAGCTTAAGGAAATTCCATGTAAATATAATAAATGATTATTCTGCAGAAGTAACTGGATTTCTTTATAAGGCTAAACTGCATTAAATAAGACTATCAGACTCAAGCACCTCACTAGTGTAGAGTTGCCAGATTTAGCAAATAAAAATACAGGACACCCACTTAAATTTGAATTTCAGATAATTTTTTATTATAAATAATAAACAGATAATTTTTTATTATAAATGTCCCATTCAAAAATAACTCCTGAAATTCAAATTTAACTGGGCAAACCTGTATTTTATCTGCAAATCCTGTAACTGATATTTTCATCTGTAGTCCAAGACATAGGTATCATCTTCCAAAGTACTATTTTTGGCCTCTGATGAAGGATAACAAATTTCTGAAGTTCTCTCTTGTTTTCCAAGGATGTATATATTATATGATTACATTTATATAATATTTTGGAAAATACAAACTAATTTATAGTAATAGAAGTCAGAGGATGGTGCAATAGAAAGGGAAGGAAAAGGGATTAAAAAGAGGCCTGAAGAAACTTTAGGGGTTGACAGATATGATTACTATCTTGATTTTGGTGATGGTTTCACGTATGTGAAACATATCAAATCGTACACTTTGAAATATGCAATTTAATGATCATTTATACCTCAATAAAGCTGTTAACAAGAAAGAGCTACCATTCAGCATAGAACTATGTTTTTGTGAAAATCATTAATGTTTACTTCAATTTGGGTAATGATCAAAGTTTTATAGAAATCCTGTTCAGCAAATTAGCAAGAGTGGTATCTATGTTTGAGAGAAAAAAATCTACCTTTACCATAAAAACTTGCTTGAAATTTTTTCAATGGCTTTCTCTCCTGGTTTATGTGGCCATTTCAACTTCAGTCATCTGTTTATTTCTAATTGCTAAAATAATTCTCCTACCTTTATCATATCACGGTTTACTGTGTCTCTGAACACCCACTTAATCTACAGTTTTCCCTGGCCTCAACCTTCTCCCACCACAGGAATTAACTATGAGCGCAGGAAAAATGAAGGATGGAAAGCAGGGGCAGCAGAGTGGTTTTGTTAGAAGATGAGCGCAGAGGACCTAAAAAAATCATTTGGAGCTGGGCTAAACTCACCAACAAGATTCTGAACCCAAAATCACTCTTAAATCACCGGTAACATTGGATACTAACACCATCCTCCCTTCTGTTTGTGTTCACAATCTGTTTTGACAACAACCAAAATTCCCATAGAGACGGCTGATTTATCACTGGAAGAAATATACAATACTCAAGAAAACAATTATCCGCAACTTACATATGCTAGCTATTTAAATTGTGAGTGCAGGGGTTACTTCTAAGGCCAAAAGGCAGAGAAGTACTTATACACATGTAACACCTGAATGACCTAAAAAAAAAAAAAAAAAAGTTAATTTTTAAAATTTCTTGCCTAGGTGATGCCTTCTCTTTGGCTAAGTATAAACGTGAAAACTCTGGCATTTGGGGTAAAGTCTTACGTCCATTCGGGGCCTCCCTGGTGGTGCAAGGGGTTAAGATGCAACCTATGAAGCTCACCGCAGCCACTGCAGCGTGAGTTCAATCCCTCAGGCGGCCAGGGAGCAACCCACATGGCGCAGCAGACCTCTCCTGACTCGCCCACTGCTCCCTTCAGCAGTGTATTTCTGTCGATCCGCCTGTTCTGATCCCGACTCTGTCTCTGGTGAATCCTCTCAACCCCCACAACTCTGGCCTGCACCCCAGTTCCTGTATGTATAAATAAATAAATCTTAAACAACAACAAAAAATCTTACCTCCATTCTTGGTGTCGTTTTTGCTGACTAACAAAACTATTAGAAAGAAAAGCATATAGGCCAATTATCAGGGGTTATCTCTGAGTTCTTTTTGCTTTAGGACCTCTGGCTGGCGGACCTAGTCCAGCAAGTAAACGTTTCTTCCAGGCTAAGTATTTTTGTTTCAAAATTCCTCCTTCCTGAGCTATTGTACCAAGGGGTTGGGGTGTATGGACTGCTGGGTTATGGGGCGGAGGTGAGGAGGAGTGCGGAGGGGGGAAACATAGGAGCCCAGATTGGGGGGCACGGTTCCTGTTCAGGCAGTGCTGTGAACTAGGAGACCATCAAAGCTGACCTTATGGTCAACTTAACTTTGTAGCTGAGGGAGCAGAGGCCTAAGGAGGGCCCATTTCGCCAGGCTACCAGATTCCGTGAAAGGGCGTATTGGTAGGGGTTGGGGACACAGGGGTGTTTGGGTTAAGGGGTTCAGAATGTGGAGTACGACAGACCTGGGTTCGAAAAGATCGCTACTCGGTGGCGGAGCCCTCCAGACGCGTCCGCTTGGACTCCGGCTCCTCAGCCTCCAGCAAGGCGTCGACGCGAGGCTCGGCAGGCCTCGGGCCAGGCGCACCGGCAGCCCGAGGCCTGGAAGGGCGCCGCGCCCACGCCCCCTGGCGGCCTCCGGTCGGCTCCCGCGCTCGGTGGTCCGTGCCCAACGCTCGGCTCGCGGACAGTCCCCGGCCGGATGCCCAGAGATCGCCCCCTTCTCGGCCTCTTGGCGGCCCTGGTGGTCGGTGGCGCCGTCGTCTTCCTGGGCTATTGCGTTTATCTTGACCGGAAGCGGCGAGGCGACCCCGCGTTCAAGCGCCGCCAGCGGGACAGTGAGTGCGACAGCGACGGAGGCGCGGACGGGCCGGGGCGGACGTTGGGGCCCAGCCTGTGAGGCCTGGCGGCCGGTGCAGCCGCCACCGAGGGGCCCCCCACGAACACGCAGGCCTCGGGCGGGCTCTCAACCTGCACGTGCCGCGTTGTGTTTGCAGAAAGAAGAGCCCAGCAGCAAACGGCTGAGGGACGGGGCGCCCAGGTGAAGTGCCGTAGCGACAGCGAGGGGGCCTTGGCGGGCCTAACCCCCGCCACGCGGGCCCTGGCTCTCCTGGCGCGGCCTAGTTCCTGATGAGGCGTTTCTGAGCCCTCGCCCCTTTCATTCTGCCTAGATGTAGTGTTTATGGCCTTCTTACGGTTTTTCCATGAATTTTAAGGCGAAATTAAGCCTTAACCTTCTTTCACTCATTTATTCATTCACCCACTCAGTCAACACCTGTTTGAGAACTATGTGTGAGGAGACTGGGGTTGCCGAGGTTAGCAATTAGAAAGAACCAAGTAGGAAGAACCATTTGGGGTTATGAAAAGGTAGTCATAATGTCAGCATTTTCGGTAGGCAGCAGGCACTTACTGTACCTGGGGAAAGAAGAGGAGCCAATGCCCTTTCAGAAGAGCACCAGACACTTAGATACCCCAGGTGGGCCACATGGTGGTACTCCTGCACCGCCCGTTTCTCTCCTGCAGGGCTGTTTTCTAGCCCAGAAGCAGAAGGCATCTTCTTTATCTCCAAATTGGAATCGGGTTAGTCTTTTGAGAACAGTTACGGTCATCTTAGTGATTGGCCCAAGTTAATTCGTATCAGCTCAGAAATTTCTTTGGTTTTTCCATTAATTATAAGGAGGAATTAAGTCTTAACCTTCTTTCACTCATTTATTCATTCATCCACTCAGTCAACACCTATTTGAGAAGTATGTGTGAGGAGGCTGGGGTTGCCGAGGTTAGCAATTAGAAAAGAACCACCTCCACAAGGCAGTGGATGAGGCCAATAGCTCAAAGACGGTGGAGATTCGTTTCCAGGCCTGAATGTCATGGACGGTGTTCTGTTTACCTGTTTATTGCTGCTTTAAACTTAGTGGCTTAAAACAGTATCTGTCTTGTTTCTGCAGCTGAATTTGGGCAGGGTTGTGTGGGGTAACAACTTTCTGCTCCACTCAAATTCATTCCGTGTGACTCCAGGGCTGAGTTCTGGACCATCTGAAGGCTCCTTCCCTTACATGTTGAGCAGTTGATGCCAACTGCCCACTTGATTGGGACTGTTGACCAGAACACCTATATGTCATCTCCAGGTGTCGTGGTTTCCCTCACTATATGGTGGCAGGCTCCCAAGGGGCAGGAAGTATGTACAAGGTGTGTGCATATGCACATGCATATTCACTTGAGAGAGAATATGTGGGAGAACATACTAAGTGGTGCACTTCTGCAGCATTGAGGTCTCCTCTGTTTCAAGAGGAGAAGAAATAGACTACTTCTTGATAGGGTAGGCAAGATTCCAGAAGTGTATTTGGGATTTGGAATATTGCCGTGGCTGTCCTTGGAACTTGCAGTCCTTCAGAGGTGTAGTCCTTTGTAGGTGGTAGCACTGAACGTGGAAGGATGTGTTAAGTATGAGTCCTGTTTCCAGGGAGACGATATTCAGGATAGAGTGACTTTGTTTATGCATAATGGTGAAGGTGGAGGATCTGCTGGACTTAATCAGTATAGCAGTTTGACAAAGGAATCTCAGTAAGGACTAGTGGAAGGTACGTAAGAGTGGAATTAGGGAGGACAATGAAGACTAGGCTAAGGATTTTAGAGTCATTGGGGAATTGCTGAAGATTTTTGAGCAGGAATTCTTAAAAAGAAGGAAAGAAAAAAACTTAGAATTTGCTAAATGGATTGGAGGAAAGGACATGGTATTGGATCAGTGTGGGTGAGAAGTAATAAAAGTCCTGGATTACAGTGGTGTTGGTATTAACTGGTGATGAAAAATTTGAGAGAAATTATCCAGAAAGTATAGTTTTTGCTGATTGATTAAAAGGTCCTAGAGAGGCAGGAGTCAAAGACATTTGGTGGAGTGGCTTCGAGAATGAAGATACAATTAACACAATTAAGAGGAAGAATAGGGAGTATCCAAGAAGAGCACATGAGCGTGGCATTGTTTACCCTGATATCTCTGACTGGGGCAGAGCCTGCTTCACCTCCATGTCCTCTTAATTCCCCTTATCCACAGTTATAGTTGTATGCCTGATTGTGCGCTTCTTCTGAGTAATGCTCTCTGTTCATCAGACTAAGGTCCATGAACTGATCTTGTCTTTTTTTACCGTCCATTGTCTCTCCAGTGCCTCATACAGTGTACACCTAGTACACTGTACGTTCCCAGCAAATTTTCGTTGAATATTGTTCATTGTAGACAGAGGGAAATAGCTTGTGCAGACACAGACCATGAACTTGCAATATTCAAGGAGTGTTGTGGCCAGGGAGAGAGAGTGGTAGTTTGGTAACTTATTGTGGAGGACTTTGAATGCCAAATTGGAAGTTTAAATGTTTTTCTGTTGTGATGGATAACCAGTGAAGGTGACTTTATTTCAAAGAGCAGATACAGTTATTATTTCGGTATTTTTTTATTTTTGAGGAAGATAACCCCAATGCCAGTATGGAGGATGGGGTGAGGAGGGAAGTTGAAGACAAGAAAATCAGACAGTAGCAATCCAGATGGAAAATAATGAAGATCTGTATTATTTCAAATGAGGAAGAGGCAGAAGCAAGATTTACAAATGTTCTTTTATATAATTTCTGTAATAACTTTATTCCTGTGGTCTCTCTACCACTTGGGGCCTCTGCACCTGTGTGTGTATGGCCTCTCTATGCACCCGTGTGTGTGAAAGAATTGGATAAGGCACTCCTGCATGACTGCCTTAAGACAGTGGCGAGGCATCCAGGGATGCCTAGGTAGCCGTTGACTGATTGTGTAGCCATGGTCTGAGGTGTATGGGAGTAGTTCAGAAATTACACCAAGTACCTGCACGGGAAATCCTCCCTGTATATGTGGCTGACATGTCCCCTCTTGTTCCCCAGAAAGTTGATTAACCCTTTGTCTCTCCTGGACCCTGCTCCTCTTGCTGTTGTCACCTATTACTGCTAATACACAGTAAGAGGGCTGCTTACTGAGCAGCAGAGTCTTGCCTTGCAAACCTGCTCCTTGTCTCATCCCTCATCGTGTCCACAGGGACGTGCTGGCACGTTCCCGACCCAACATACTCTAATTCTTTAGACAAATAAACGAAAGCACAGGGAATCGTTCTTCCCAGGTCTTCTGGAGTCTTCCTTCCTCCTCATCCTAGGCCCGCTTTGTCTCCCAAAGTATGAGCCATGGACCATTTGTTAAAATACAGATTATCTGACCCAAATCCAGACAAGTCTGATTTTGGAGATCAAGGGTAGCCAAGAAGTTATGGGGGCAGTAGACCTCAGAATTTATGAGTCACTGAGGAGTTTGTTAAAAGTACAGATTCCAGAGCCCCTACTCCCAGAGACTGATTCAGCAGGTCTGAGTAGAACCCAAGAAACTGCAGTTGTAACAGCCCATTTGGGTGACTGTGAAACACTGCTCTCTGATTCTGTACTCTTCTCCTCCCAGGAAGCTTCTTCCTTTTTCCAAATGATCTCAGAGATGCTGCTCTAGATCCAGTGTCCCAGACTTTGTCTGCCAGTCAGACTCTGTCCACTTGACCTCTTTTGGCACCTCAAAAGTTCAAAAGTTAAACCATCATCTCATCCCTTGCCACTGTTCCTCCTCTGTTACCTCATGATGCTGCTATTATCAGTAACCTCCATGATCCAGTGTGTCTTGCTTAAATATCAACTGCATCCCAAAATCAATCTCCAGTTCTTATGCTGTATCGGATAGCCTATACTCTTTCTGTTTCCACGTCTTTCATACATCTTGAATCTGTCAGTATCTTTTCCCCAGTATATTATAATAATTTTCTAGCTTGCATTCCTGCCTCTCTTCTCATGATATTGGAGAAAATTTCTCCTAAACTGCAGCTCTAAATATGTCATTCAGTGCATATCTTTCCCTATTCTGAAGATAAAGATCAGTCTCCTGACCTTTGCACAATGGCCTTCTAGGGATGCCTTATATATAGACAGGTTTATTTTCCCAAGGCTTGGAAATAACTTGTAAAGTTCCTGGTTTGTAGCTGGCCTTCAATAATTGGCAATTATTGTTAGTTCATTCACCCTATCATAATTCTGCTATATAAGGTCACTGAATACTTTCCCTGCCATTTTACACCTCTATTTCTTTGCTCATCAAACTTTTATTTCTTCTACATTTCAAATGCTATCTTTTCTGACAGATGGGCCCTGGTTCTCCTTCCAGATACAATCTTTCTGTACTTTGGAACCCAGAGGACAGTGGACTTTATACGTGATACTGATCATAAGTGTACAGTCCTTACTTGGCTTGACTATGGGCTCCTTGGATATGAGTACTGGTGACTTGATCTCCTTCTCCTTCCAGCTCTTCCTAGAGTGTCCTGCCCTTGCCAGTATTCACTAAATATCTGTTGAATGAAACCTGTGGTTATAACTAGTCACTAGCATGTTTGCTGATAAAAAGTAAAAATGGGATCCATACCCGCAGCTCATTCCATTTTAAAAAGAGAATTTGAGGGGGAAACAAGCACAGAATCCCATGGTTATGAAAGACTGAAGCTTGGTAGTGAAATAGATATTTTGGGTTAGGAGGTTTTCTACCTTTACAGACCAGTTCTGGACATGGTAGTAATGATGACGCTCATCTTCATAAACCAGGCTGCAGCAAACCCAGCATTCTCTGAATACCACCAGCTCCGTGACAACTCTCCAACATGCCCATTGACCTCCCCTGATGAGGGTGTGAATACAGAAGACTTAGTATAGCTTCTTGCCTCTCCTCCTAGAGGGTTAACTACTGTTTGAACAAGGATCACAACCAGATGACTAAAACGACCCTGTAGACCAGAGAAGTGATTGCAACCAAATCACTAAGCACTGTTAATACCCGAGGCAAGGGGGGGAAAAAAGCAACCTACCAAAATTACCTTTGTTATAGTTAATAACAATAGGATTTCTTCTATGTGAACTTAGAAAGCTGGATAAAATATGGATGATTTATTGTAAGCATCTCAACCTAACTTGGAATATCCATGTGTTTTTATCGCCTGAAATTTCTTAACTGTTTTAAGAAATTGGCTTAAATATCATAAAGATAAACTGCATACTTTGGATTTATTTATTTATTTATTTATTTATTTATTTTTTAAAGATTTATTTATTTATGCATACAAGAGCTGGGGTACAGGCCAGAGATGCTGGGGGTGAGAGGATTCACCAGAGACAGAGTGGGGAACAAAACAGGTAGACTGACTGAAATACACTGCTGAGGGGAGCAGCAGGCAAGATAGGAGAGGTCTGCCTCGCCTTGTGGGTTGCTCCCTGGCTGGCAGGGATCGAACTCATGCTGCAGAGGCTGCGGATTGCTTCATAGTGCGGTGCTTAACCCCTTGCACCACCAGGGAGGCCTCATACTTTGGATTTATTTATTTATTTATTTATTTAATTTTTTTTTTTTTTTTTAAGATTTATTTATTTATTCAAGCACTGGGTACAGTCAGAAGCGCTGGAGGGTGAGAGAATTCACCAAAGCCAGAGCAGGGAGCAGAGCAGGCAGAAGGACCGAAGTACACTGCTGAGGGGAGCAGCAGGCGGCAGGAGAGGTCCGCATGCCATGTGGGACCCTCCATGTGGGACCCTCCTGCGGTGGCTGGGGAGCAGCAGGGGATCGAACCGGCACTGCAGAAGCTGCTGGCAGCTTTGCAACCCAGCACTCAACCGCTGCGCCACCGGGGAGGCCCTCAAGTTGTTCTTTTAAGAAACGAATTTTGATCAGTAACTACATATCTTACATTCTTTACTCACTATTAAATATTTTGTGAATCTTTTAGTTGTGGGATCCAGCAAAGAATAAAAATTTGCAAGACCTTATTCTGCAAGAGTTACGAATGGGAGAACTTTGGTTATCTAGAGGTAAGAATGTAAATATTCTTTTATAAGCAGTTATTTTTGATAATTTATGTTCAAGGAACATTTGTTAATTAGTATTTGGAAATCAAATAATTTAATTGGCTAGCTATGTTAACCAATTTGCTTTAAACAGAAACTGTTCCAGCATTTTTACTTCATCACACTGTCCTGCTTTATTATGTTATGGTTAGTATTCAAGTTTATGTTGCAGTCTTGGAAGTGGGCAGATGGAGAAGGAAAGCCAAATACAAGAACACCTCATTTACTGTCAGGTAAAATTCTAAGTAAACGAATTTTCCAAATGACTGAATATTGTATAAATCAAAACTCTAAAAAGTTTCAACAGCTTTATAAAAATTTTCTTGCCACCTTTGAGTATTCTTAATAAAACAATTACTTATTTTGATGATAATATTAGTATGAATAATTCTTGTATGGTGTCTAATGTAGTGGTGTTTGTAGGGGCTACTTTGCACTTAGGGTCAAAACTGTATTTTGAATTTATAATTTATCCGTATCTAATTCAAGATAGATTTGAGAAAAACTTCATAATGTTGTCAGATAAAATGATGGTAGTAAATATAAATGTATTGTATAAATATCTTATATAATAATCATGCTTTTATTCTGGCATTAAACCCTGGAAAGAAAAGAATTTGAGACTTCTTATAAGGGATAAGTTATACTGCTGGATAAATGAACATTATGCCCATTTTTTATTTTATATACAGGCATTACAAATCCCCTTGTAAATCATAGTACTTACATCGGTTGTTGCTTCTTTTTTGTCTTTTTGAGAAAGATTTTGTTGTTGTTTTCATTTAAGAGGGTAGTATCCTCCAAGACATTTAGTGTAGCAGCTCAAAAACATGATAGAGGTTTTGAGAAATGAAAAAACAATTCAAAGTTCTTGCACACTAATCTTTAAAATTTGAAAATTTAGTATTTAGTACTAATTTTTCAGGTGGTTCTATAAATGCACTAAAAATATCTAAATCCTAATGACAAAATTAAACTGAATTAAATGATATAAACAGGATTGATTTTATACAAGGTTATGAAACATAAGGTTTAAGAGTCTTCATTTGCAGAGGCCTCTTTAAAGGTGCCAGGAGGAATCCAGTTTTGCTTTCAGGACTATATTCTTCCATTTTTTTGTAAAGATTTATATTTATTTATGTCAGAGGTGTGGGGAGTGAGAGGATTCACCAGTGACAGGATGGGGAGCAGAACAGGCAGATTTACTGAATTACACTGCTGAGGGGAGAAGCTGGCGAGATAGGAGAGGTCTGCTGTGCCATGTGTGTTAACTCCCTGGCTGGGGATCAAACTCATGCTGTAGAGGTTGCAATAGCTTGATAGCACTGAGACTTTAACCCCTGTGCCACCAAAGACGACTCCAGGAGACCTAAAATTATATAAATTGAGGGCCTCGCAAAATCTAGCTTAATCCCTTCATATGGAACAGATATGTAGGGATATATTGAAACAGATTTGTAGGTATATATTGAAACAGATAGCTTTGGGCTTTAACATTATTTGAACCAGTATAGTACAAATATGGAAAAGAAAATTCTGAATTACTAGTCAAAAGAAAACAAGAACATAATTATTTTATTTTTAATTCTCCATGTTTAATAGCTGCCATGTAATAGTTTAGTGAGACTTAGAGATGTCATGAAGGTGATTAAAACAAAACTGCAAACTTGGACTTAAAAATTTTTCCCCTCTTAAAGGTGGTACATCATTTCTTTGAACCTCTAAATTGATTTATCAGCTCCTTAAGGGTTATGTACTTCTATATCATACTTCCAATTGCAGTTCTTGTCTTGGTGGTTTATTTTTTTAAACTCACAACCAAAGCCCAATCCAGTTAAATCAGAATCTCTGGAGCTGAGACTTAGATGTCAGTATTTTTAAAATCTCCCTAGGTTATTACAACCTAAATGCAGCATTGAGAACAAACATTCCAATGCAGTAATTTCTCACCGGTTTTCTGTAATCTCAATTTTCTCCATTCTCCTCTCGAATTAAAATCATCAATTTTAATTACTTTTCTAGCAGGTAGTAGAGCTCTAAACATATCTCAATTGTTATTTGGTACCAGAGAACCAGTACTTTTGACTGAATTTTGTGATTAGCTTGATTTGACTGATTTATTGGTTGGTTGATTTTATAGGCCAAACATTTTTTTTGGTCACATTAGGTCCATCAACTTGAGAGCAGACATTATTATATCTTTATTTCTTTAAAAAGCTCAATACAGGGCCTCCCTGGTGGCACAGCGGTTGAGCGCTGGGTTGCGAAGCTGCCCGCAGCCTCCGTGGTGCCTATTCGATCCCTGGCTGCTCCACGGCCATTGGAGGAGGGTCCCACATGGCGCACAGACCTCTCCTGTCGCCCGCTGCTCCCCTCAGCAGTGTACCTTGGTCTTTCTTCCTGCTCTGCTCCCCGTTCTGGCTCTGGTGAATTCTCTCACCCTCCCACGCTTCTGACTATACCCAGTGCCTGTATAAATAAATAAATAAATCTTTTAAAAACAAACAAACAAAAAAAGCTCAATACAATCTATATGATTCCATAACTATTTTTATTCATTTAAGACAAATTAGAGAACTATCAAGACTTAGGAAACAGCATCTTTAAGTAGTGTCTAAGACTAAAAACTCAGCAATGAAACTTCCTTACTTTGAAAATATAAAATTAGATATCTAGACACAAAACTTTTATCTTAAAACCTGCGAAGTATCGACAAGGCTTGCTTTGTCTATGTATCTTAGATCATGGCCTTCTCTTTGTTTCTCAGATTAAGCTTAGTACAGACCTTTGAGAAACATTTTTTCCTATCTATTATGTCCTTTTCTCTTCAGGTGTGTTGCAGCCAACAAGTGGAAAATTAGGTTCCATAAGAATTTAATGTTATACTTAACAGTAGGGAAATATATTTTATTTCTTACATTGTTGTTTTAAGTATCAGAATTTCAACTTCTGTTATTACATAAGAGAAGCAGCACAATGTGGTCTCAAGGTTCAGAAAACTAGTTTTTTACTAATTTTGGCATTAATTAGCTCTGAAACCTTAAATCATTTTATTGATCTTTACCTTAGTTTCCTAAAACAAGAGAGTAAAACTAAGTGACTCCATGTTCTAAATTGGACAGAAATCCTATAATTGCTACTCTTTACAAATTTTATTGTTATTTCACTTAAAACTCATTTTAAAATTTTACAAAATTCATAAATCTGTTTTCTTATTCTGGATATGTAATTCGTGTTACACTAAATCTTGTTTCAAGTCTTTGATAATAGAACTTTAAAAATAAATTTTTCCTTTCCTAGAACAGCTGGTGTTTCCTCTATAGTATTTCATCAATCACACGAGTTAAAAATAAACCTATTTTACATCAATAAGCGAAATTTTTAAAAATGCAGTTAAAAAAAAACTTCAACACTCCATCTCCTGCACATCTAAATTGTAGAATATTTCCAATGCAGAAGTACCTTTTAAACAGTTAGAGTACACTCCCTCTGATTTGGGCCATTCAGTTATTCACATGCACATGATCACAGTGAATCTAACTGACGGCTCAGCATTTCACCTCACATTGACACTCTACTCTTTGAGACTTGTTTATTTTTTTTATATGACAGTAAATGTATTTTTATTTTTATTTTTTAAGATTTATTTATTTATTTATACAAGAATCTGGGTACAGGCCAGATCCGCGGGAGGGTGAGAGAATTCACCAGAGATGGAGCAGGGAACAGAACAGGCAGAGTGACGAAATACACTGCTGAGGGGAGCAGTGGGCAAGACAGGAGAGGTCTGCCGTGCCATGTGGGACCCTCACTGGCCGGCCGGGGGATAGAACCAGTGCTGCAGAGGCTGCGGACAGCTTCATAGTGCGGTGCTCAACCGCCTGCGCCACCAGGGGAGGCCCTGTTTAAATATTTTTTAAATTTTAATGCTTGGTACTTCCTTGGAAATTTGTAGAATGTACATTTGGGAAAAATTTTAACTTTGCTTTAAACTTATTAATCTGTTTCAGGAGAGCATAGAATCGGGGTTGAACATCTCAGCAATGCCCTTTTAGCATGTGGGCAGCCACGTGAACTTCTGAATGTTTTCAGACACACACTTCCTCCCAAGGTATTTGAGATGCTGTTGCACAAAATTCCCCTTATTTGCCAGGTGAGTACATGTTTATCTTCCTGAATAAACACAATAACCATATTGGGCTTGATTACACAGAAATAACTTAAGTATGTGTGTGAACGACCCAAGGTCAGAGTATAGTCTGACAAAATTTTAATTGTTACAAATCACCAGAAGAGTAACAGTATAGTCTTTGGTTGATAGTGTATCAACCAAAAATCCCTTAATTTTTGGTTACTTTTCTTGCCTAATGATGAAATAAGTTTATTCTTTCATGTTCTTTGACTATAATAAATTGCATATTGTTTAATATTGTTCCAACATTTCAATTTTAAAAATAGTTAATATTGTCTTTGTACTTTTAAAGACATTGTAATTTTTGACTGTAATGGTAACAGGCCTTTAAGTTAAATGGTATTGTTAGGTAAACAACCTAATAGCTCAAAAATTAGATGTAATAAAAATAGTAAATTATCAAAGCAGAATAGTTCTGTTTTCCAACATTATGACAAAGCATAGACATCAAGGTATATTTAAATACATAGGCAAATTAATGTTCTCTAAGTAAAAGTTTCAATTGGTATCAAATGAAATTAATCTCTAAGCCAATTTAACAGGTATTAAATCTACTTATCCTTATAATACCGCTTAGTATTTTTATGCATCAGGTAGTATTTCCTATAAATGCTTGGATTTTAGAATTCATTTAGCCATAAGACACTTTTAATTTTGGTTCATTTATTACACTGATCATATATCAAGGATGAGAATACACTTTATATGTTGGTCTGACTTGGAATCATTCATGTTGGACTGCAAAACACAAAGCATCACAGGCTTACTAGCCCAGATGGGTTATTTCCTGAAAATAAGTAAAAATATAGTTAGAATTAAAGACAAAAGAAGGGAGGCAAGCCCAATGGATTATGATGGAAGATGATGGGTGTGGTGTTGTAACGTATTTGAAGAGGTATGAACCTATGCCCCAAATTTATAAACAGTGTTGTAAACCATTATAACCTCAATAAAACTATAGTTTAAAAAAAAAAAAGAGGCAAGAAAAGGATAGTGCATTGAAATGATTAGCAAGTAATTGTTTTATGTATTTAACAGCAATTTGAGGCAGACATGAATGAACAGGAATACTTGAAGGATGATCGTGATTGAAAATATTTCATCATATCCACAGTCCAGTGAAAATACTATGGTACTATATATTATAAACAACTGCTCAGCGATATTTCCATTTATTTTACTTTTAGTAATAAAAAATTTGTTTCTATCTCATACATGATTGAACACATATTTTGCTTTAAAATTAACAGTCACAATTGAAGAAACAATGGTTTATTTTTCGAATCAAGTGACCAAGCTGCTGAATCTTAAGGCCTCAACAAATGTTGCATATTATTTTCAATGAACAAGACCTTCTATTTTGATTATTCCTGGTACATAGCTATTTTGTTTCTCCACTGGTTTCCATGTGACAGTCATGACAGATGGTTTAACATGGTGGCTACTGCTTTCAGGGGATTCTGTCAGGTGAATCCTCATTTCCAGTGCAATAGCTGTTGGCAATCTCTCCTTTAAAGTCCATTGATCAGGACTTCTCTATCGTGGTTGGCCAAGGAGTCCTGCTTTGGCTGCCAAAGCTTCATTCTGCTGAATATGATATTCCTGAAATCTCATAGATATTCTTTGCGTCATTTTTAAATATTTCTGTAAGCAGTGTTCCGAACAGGTGGTCTAAAATAAAAAAGATTCAAGAGGCAAAACAAAAGTATTAATTAAAAAAAAAAAAGGCAAAACCTTCCCTATTCTTTGAATATATCCAAAATTAAACAGTATTAATGAGTACCAAGTAACTACAGCTTTCAATGGTTAACACTTTCATTCTTTTATAAGAATTAACATATATATTGAATGCAAACAAATTTGTAGGCATTAAAACAATGGTGTTAAGTCCCTGCCTCTGGATAAGATTTTCTGCCAGTATATTTCAATATTAACTGAAAATCCACACTCCCACCCCCTTCTTCTAACTTTAAAGTATGTAGAAGTTTATTCTTTTTTTATGAGTAATTCCTTTTTTAACATTCTTAATTCTCAAACTTTGCCACTTATTTAACATTTATTGATTGCTTAGCCTTGGTATACATGTTTTGTTTTTTTAAAATAGATTTATTTATTTATGCATACAAGAACTGGGGTACCGGCTAGAGATGCGCGGGGGGTGAGAGGATTCACCAGAGACAGAGTGGGGAACAGAACAGGAAGACTGACTGAAATACACTGCTGAGGGGAGCAGCAGGTGAGTCAGGAGAGGTCTGCTGTGCCATGTGGGTTAGCTGCCTGGCTGGCAGGGGATCAAACTCATGCTGCAGAGGCCATGGACTGCTTCATAGTGCGGTGCTTAACCCCCTGTGCCACCAGGGAGTCCCCCTTGGTATAAATGTTTATCAGCATCTTCCATTTATATATGGGCTCAATGTGACATAAACGTGTGTGTATGAATGTGTTTTGATGAGGACATTAAAAAGTTAAGACTTTTAATAAGATTGGGTTTTCAGAGTCCACCTATTCATTATGAACCACCAAATTCAAGCCGTTTTCAAAATTAACTCAAGTTCTCAGGATCAGATGGAAATACCATGTCACCTTTCTCTACCTAGGTCATCTTGTCTGGAAGTTACTTATGTAAAAATCTTCACAAGGAAATAATAACCCAGCAAGCCCTAGGTATGGTGTATTAAAAAAAAAAGCCTACATTGTTATAATGTGACTCTCTTAAATTTGGCACCATTAAACTCAGTTCTTGGCTGATTCAGTTCCTCTGAGCAATGGAACACAGAATGTGATCCAAGCTTCTGTAATAACTAGGAACAAATGAAGTACTTTGGGGGTCCCATTTATATCATTATGGGAAGTCTGGAGGATGTTTAGAAGGCAAAACTTTTCATACCTCTTCAGGTTTTACTTCTCTTGTTGTGAAGTCCTTCACACAGTCCAAAAAGCAGGTTTCTGTAAGTTTATTGTAGGTTCCAAGAAATTCCCTAAACTACAAATAAATCAGAAGATTATTTAATATTTGATTTTTAAAGATGTTTTAAACTTTTAATTACTGTTTTGTTGTGATAAAATATCCAGTAATAATTGAAATCAAAGGTTATTTTATTAACTTAAATATGGTCTACAAAATACAGACTAATTTTCTTGTTGAATATTTATTCTTTCCTGGATTATCTGGAAAATAAATATGATTAATATAATCTAATATTCATTTTTGGAAATGAAATAGTTATTTTGTGAGGTCACTGACCAATATGGTCGTATCTAAATTAAAATTTTTTTTTTTTGCAAAATGCCTTTTCCCTAATTATAACCCCTTACCTGTTTTATCTGATCAGATTCTGGTACTTGTGCAGCCATATTCTTTTGGTATGTTTATTAGTCACCTGATTAAAAAAAAAAAATCCATCAATTTGTAAACAAATGTTTCTGAGCATGCTGCAGAGTTAGGTATTCAAAACAAGAATAGCTTATGAGATAGATCTCAAACAAGTCTACCTGAAATTATTGTTCATATTTTATAAAATTTTAACCCCCAATTTCCTAGGTCATTAATGACAACAAAGAGCTTTTTAGATTTAGGTTTAGTTTAGAATTAGATTTTCTAATACTAGCTATGGGAATCAAAGGCCCTATATAAATTTCTAGTTCTAAGAGTTTGCTCTGCTACCTTGAAGTCATTTTTTTTTTGGGGGGGGGTTTCTCAGGCTTTTATTAAGCTTTTACATGAAGTCATTTTTATTTATTTTTTAGAAGATTTATTTATGCATACAAGAGCTGGGATGTAAGCCAGAGGTGGTGGGGAGGGGTGGTGGTGGGGATGAGAGGATTCACCAGAGACAGAGTAGGGGGCAGAACAGGCAGATTGACTGAAATACACTGCTGAGGGGAGCAGCAAGTGAGACAGGAGAGGTCAGCTGCGCCAGCCATGTGGGTTAGCTCCCTGTCTTCATAGTGCTGAGACTTAACCCCTTATGGCACCAGGGAGGCCTGCAAAATCATTTTTAAAAGCCCTGTTCCTAGTAAGGTTTTGAGGGAAACCAGGGGTTATCTAGTCTTACTTTAAGTACTTCATTATTCCATTGTTTGCTAATGTAAACTGACCTATGCTATGATTCTTTTACTATATGCAAAGGTTCAATTAATTGTTAACAAACACAATCCACTTATAAAGCAACAACCCTCATAAAAGGCATCCAGGGTTGTAAAGACTCTAAAAGGAAGTCAAAAAGTCTTTCTGAATTTCTGGGATTGTCACATATCCTAAATGGAGGCCAGGCTCAGTTAACCCAGATATAAGAATATATATTATTTATTATTCTATACTGGCTAGTTCTAAAATAGATGGATATCATATACAAAAGATTTGTATAAAATAAAGCTGTTTAAATAGAAATTAAACAGCGTGTAAAAGAATAAGCAATCCTAATCATGTACACTGTAGACTAACAATTTCTATACATTTTATTTAGTTGAGCATATTGACAACCAATACAAAGATAAACTGGGTATCATTCTTATTAGCTCATCAATTGTTATTTAAAGTGACTCTGAAAAGCATGAAAGTTTTAAGAAGCTTATATGGAGATGAAACTAAATGGGAAGTTTAAGGCAAAGCATATTATATCCCATCACAGAAAAAAAAAATATTATCCTCAATGGATTAACAAATATAATAAATTGCACATAGCATTCCCAACCATGTATACACCCTTCCCTTCTTTCACACTTTTTCTTCCTTCCTCTTTTTTCCTTATCCTATAATTTCATGAATATTGCTGACATTTTAAAATTTTCTCCACATGTAAGGAAAAGCATCAGTTCTTTCCTGTTTGCTATGCTGGTATGATTCCAGATATTATAGCCCATAGTTTTCTTTGAAGTAATGATTAACAGAAAGTATAATTAACTGTCTATACTTCAGCAAACCCTTGGTTTAGAAGTAGCAGGATATAAGTATCTTTTCTACAAAACCAACCAAACAAAAAACCCCAAAAATGCTCCATATCTGCTACCATGAAGTACAGGTTTTAAGTTAGTTTACCATTCAGTGTTCCAAAACACCTAAAAAGTCAGCAAGAATGCTTTTTATTCCTATTTTAAATCACAAAACTAGCTGAAAAATACCAAGAATTAACTGAAAGTTACAATTTTTCAGATACTGGCATCACTATTATCATTTATATAAATTCAGGTAAGATACTATTGTAGTTCCACCTGTGGCTCATTAAAGTCATGAACCACTGATTCCATACCCTCAACTATTGAACTGCTAGAAATTCAATCCTCATTGTTATATTATCTTCTAATATTAACTTCAGAACTTTATACTTTGGATCTCAGTAGTTATTATTTTAATTAATTTTTAAATATTCCTTCAAAAAATTTATTGAATGTACCAAGGCTTATGCTAGTTATGACACTAGCCAACCTTACCACTAGAGGAAACAACATTCTATTTAAGTGTATCACACAGACTGTTTAGGATTTATGCTTTTGAGAAGATGGAGATGTGCTTTTCCCTCTCTATTCCCATTATAAAGTACAACTACAAACCTTAGATATTATATAAAAAAATAAATGTAAGACTATGAAACATGGGGAGAAGCAAACATACTGGCTAAGGCTTGAAACCCAAGAAACAACATAGTGGTAAATTCTCTCTTTTTTATGTCTCATATATTATAGATTTAGAGCTGAAGAAATGAAACAAAATTTTTAGAAAAAACTTTATAAAACTTGAGGTAATGGAAAAGACTATGGCCCTCATCCCTACCAACAGCATAAGCCAGGTTATGGGCCCAAACTTCTACTCTCATTGGGCTGTAATGAGGTACTCCAACTCCCAGACAAAACTGATTAAGAAGCAGGAATTTTCATCTTTGCTGGGTATTAATGAGGCACACCCCACCCCAATCGAAGTGTCAGTGGAAACTATATGGGGAGCTTGAACTTCCACCTCAGTTGGCAATAATGAGGTTACCCTTCCCTCACCCTTCTAGTGAGAAGCAATAACGAAGTATTCTAGTTGTCTCAGCCAGAGAATATCAGTGAGGCTGAGGAGAACCAGAACTCTTCTCATCTATCTACCCCTTCTCTCTGTACTAGCTTGAGTGAGAAATCTAGACTTCTACCCCTACCTGGCAGTAATGAGTTGGCCCACCGCCTACTTCCTGGAGCAATGTCAAAGGAATCAGATAGAAGAGAAGGTTTAAATAAGATCTAGCATTTCATAATACAACATGAATACTTTTTTTTACAAAAAAAAAAAAAGACCCACTGATCATACTAAGATATCAAACTGACTGAAAAAAGGCAATAGATGTTAAATATTGAGATGAAAATTATTAGAATTATCTGACAAAGATTTTAGAACAACCATTACAGAAAATGTTTCAATTATGAATATGCTTGAAACAAATGAGAAAATAAAATTTCAGAAAAATAAAATCCAGAAGAACCAGATGAAAATTCTAATTGAACAATACAAAACCCTAAATAAACTAAATGGAAAGAATCAGCAGCAGATTTGATAGAATAGAGGAAGGAATTAGTGAACTGGAAGATTAAAAAAAATTTTCCAATGTAACTGAGAAAAAGAGAATGAAAACAATGAAGACTGTACCAGAACCTGTAGACTGTAACAAAACATTCAACATTTCTGTCAATCGAGTCTTGGAAGGAGAGAAAAGGGCAGGGCTATAAAAGCATTAGAAGAAACAATGGCTGAAAACTTCCCAAGTTCAGCAAAAGATACAAACTTACAGATGTAAGAAGCTGAATGATTTCCAAAGAGCAC